GTTTGCAATGATTGCGTTTTGTCCTCTAATTGGGATAGCAGCAAGCTGATTACTCATACACACATCGTTAGCGCTTCAAAGGCACACATACATTTTACATGACATGCACACACACACGCGCACACGTATAGTGCTGACAACTGAAATCCGACCCCCTTGCTGGCGCGCCGCGCCGGCAAGGGGGTCGGATTTCAGTTGTCAGCACTATACATGTACATGTACATGCACACACATGTACATACCCACTATACAATTACATGTACATGAACATAGAGACTCAGACTGCAGTGTGTGGTGTGAATGAGGCCCATTGGGTCGCCTGCCGCGCCGGCGATTTGTTCCAGAACGCCCTGCGAGCCTGGAGAGCGGATGCAGAGCACATGCAGACATGTTCTCAGAGCTTGCACTCCTAAGACCGATTCCCCATTGAGCGGAGACAGGACGAAACGTGCTGTCGACATCGACGAATGGCGAAAGGTGTCCAGTCAGTCTTCATTATCTAGTCTTCAATGTGTGATTTCGGCTTTCCGATACAGACACAAAGATAGATTTTGGAAGCATTATCACACCTAACGTTACTGATATGAGAGCACAATGGAATACTATGTTCAACCGAAAAGTTGTCCACTTCCGCCCCAGTGTGTTTTCAAGAACCCCAAAGAGATTGGAATGTCAGTGGCTGGATCTTGTCATGCGTACTTACCGACACAACGACGTTAATCCTTTGTGAAATGGCTGGGTGTTCTGTTCTTCCAAAGATCGCCCCTACAGTTGCACAAAGACTTGAAAGAGGACGTTGGGAGTGGTGCTTCATGCTGAGAAGACTTCCACACTCACTTCACAGCTCTGATGGCCAAATCCAATTAATTGCTCCTCGTTTCGGCCACGAGCCACTTGCTTCAAACTTGTAGGAACAACCATTCTGGTTTGTAGATGCATCACGTTGAACAATAATTACCGCACCTTCTGCACAATGTACATGTAACTTGGTGTAGTCGAGACTCGTTTGACCGCATCATCCAGGCTTCTAGTCAACAAGCACTTCGCGAGACAGAGACTGATACAAAAATCTCCCACAGCGATTCTGAGTGAGGTTCTTATCGGTTCTTCGGCGATGCAAATGCCTGCAAGCCGCTATTTTCGTGTGTGTGTGCCTGCAAGGTGAGACAGTGGCGTTTGCCTTATGATCTATCGTCGCACGTGGAGTTAACACTTTCAGCTGTCAATATAGTGGCAGGAGAGCGTGTCGAATGACATGTTTGTTGGCCCAATATCGGTGAGAGCCTGCCATCGTTTTGGTGTAATCCTTTTGTCAGACATAGTGATTGTGCGAGGGTTCTAAGTGTAAAAGTGTGAGAGAAGAATAGACGTATTCGCTCCTAACACAAGCCGAACAATAGCCACGTAATTCGCACCCTTAGCCCGCCTATCAGGCACAAAAGAGCGCTGCGTCTTCGTGCTGTGGCCAGGGAAAAATGGTACGTGATATTAGGGCCTCGCTTCAAACCAGTACACTACTACTAATATTGCACTGACCTCATATCCATGTGGTGACAATGCCTCCTTGCACAAGCATACACTGTAAATCTCTGCTGGGACCGTGGAAAGGCTTTCTAAAATTAGTGGCATTAGTGGCCAGTTTCCACACCCACATCGTGTTGCATGTGTCCAGCAGCACTAGTATTCTACGTGCATGACTAAGCAATGTGACAACTCACTAGTCTCTGTGTGATGCATGCTGTTGAAGCCAGGGGGAGAAATGGGCCCGTTATCAGCACAATCGCCTCATACTTGTGACATGTTTTCATAACCATGCATCATACACTGGTCCCTCACCAATACACTGTACATCTACATGTATGCCTGTTTTAAAACTAGCTTGATTCACTTGACTATACTGAAGTGTCTGGTTTTAACATGCAACAGCTTCATGCTATGAAGAAAAAAGTGACGACTGATTGCTGCTTCGTGCCACACCTCAATTCCCATTGTTACTGACAAGACGCCCGACCATCCGCTCGCCCTTCGCCCGCCAGTCGCTCAGACCCTGTCGGAACCTTCCCGAAAGCGGGGTTATGCATCAGCTCGTGACGTAGTCATCGAGCTACTGAGCGCAGGCCCGGGGCAGTGCAGTGAACGCCCAGCACACGGATGACTATATATGCTCACGAAAATGTCGGGTAAGGCAGACAACAGTTTTTTCCTCTTGCACCTTTGTCGTTTCACCTGCACGACTTACAGTTCCTTCTTCCTCTAGTTACCCCCTCAATCGTCCTGTTTGTATTCTACAAGTTCTGACTGACAGTGTCCGCCATGTCTGAGATGCGCTTCAGTTCGTTCCTTCTGACAGCAGTTGTCGTCGTGATGGCAGAATGCCTTCAGGCGACCAGTGGCAGACCGGCAGTCGAGAGCGATACCGGTGTAGCTGACAGGGACAATGTGACCTCCAGCCAGGTGGAAGGAGACAGTCGAGGGACAGGTTGTATCGGGAGTGGATGTCTCGTAACCGTTCCAGGCACGAAGGTCAATAAACATCCCTCAACAGGTCCGGGAGAACTGGGACAAACTCGAACTCAAACCACCCCAGCGCCTTACTACTACCAAGTCGAGGATGTGTTCATCGACACGAAGAAAGTCAACGCCATCACCGAGCCTACGTCAACCTCAACCCTGAGTTCTCCCGATTACAGACCCCACATCTTGGATCGTCTAGTCGATTCCACAGTCCCCTGGTTGACCGTACCGAATACCGGGTCTGTCGAAACACCCGGCGAGACTGGGCCGATGATCCCAGCCGAGACTGCACCCGACACGCGTGTTGAATTGGCGAGCCGTGGTGGTGAAGACCTTGCCCAACAACCTCAGCAACACGGTCTGGCACCCTGCGAGCGGTTTTCCCGAACATTTATGCTGAATGTCAGCGGCTGTGTGGCACAGGACGTCACTGTGTTTGGCTGTCGTGGTGCCTGCACGTCGAAACAGCGTCCGGAAAACAACTTCCACCTTCTGACACCGATGCGGAGCAGGGTTCGAATCCTGTCCTTCGACTACGTTCGCAAGTGCAAGTGCTGCAGAGAGAAGACTGTTCGTCTGCTTCCCGTCGAGCTGAAATGTCTGACTCTCTCTTCTCACAGCGGAAACAAGCTCGCCTCAGGACAACAGCCCGAGGCGACGTACGAACCACGAACGTTCATGGTTGAACAGGCCATGGAATGCCAGTGTCGAACATCCAGCTGCAACTCCGACTGGTGATGGCGCCGAACTGTCAGGTTAGACAAGAACGACCCCTCTGAGAATTCTTTTGCTGGACATTGATGCGTTTCTCTCCGAACGTAGAAAACCCTGAACACGGGAAAGGAACTGTGTAGGCATGCGTGCGTGCATAGAAACATTATCAGCCTGCTTTGTTCTGAAATGAACTGCTTCATCATGCGTGACGTCATCATCAGTGCATTCTGTGTTATGCATGCCTCTGTGCGCCACCAGCCACTCTAAATCCAGCCACTGCCTTACATGTACATGTACATACAGCAAGCAGCTATTCTGCATCAGTGCATGACAATTAAGCATACCCACAGCCAGCATGATCCCTCTCAAGTCTCAGTCTCAGGCCTAGCCTCTCAGCATGCATACTCAGTAACCCTTAGAACCACTCGAGCCCTCATACTCATACAGTGTGCACTATGTATGTATACCTTACATGGATAATGCAGCCTGGAATGCCTAATGTCTGATTTCCTCTCACCAACATAACTCAATTTCTCTTGACCGCCAAACAAAGGTTCTCTCCCATATCGATATCAATTTCATATCCAGTCCTTTACATGTACATTGTACTTGTGACAGTTTCACCTTTCCTGTCAGTTGTCAGCTATGTCCACATCACTGATATCCACATTGTAGATTTCTGACTACAGCAGCTCTATACTGCTCTCTGTAAGCTAGCCTAGCAGTGGAACATGTGTACGTGTAGTTTTGTCCTGGCTCAGTCCAGCCTAGCCTGGGCCAGGACGACCGGGGGTGAGGAACAAAAAGTTATAAGATTTGTACCCGTTACGCAGAGGTCAACCAGGGGCGTCACACACCGTACGGCCAGTAACCCCCCCCCCCCCCCCGGGGCACCCAGCCGTACCACTCCCCACTGCCCTGTGACACCCCAGTTCACGGACAGCAAACGCAGAGTCTTTCAACAGCCAGTGTATGAATGAACTGGGAAGGCATAGGCAAACCCTCGGATTGCTATCTTGCAAAGAGTGTGGCACAAGTCGCCTGATCATAGATTGGTGGTTGTATTGAGCAAGAAAACGTTGCTCCTTTGTACCTTTTTGTGTGTAATCGTGCTCAGCATTATTCTGTTGAGGCCTCTCCACTGGCAACAGAGACCTCTTTGTAGTGAAGGAGTCTATGCTGAAACTTGCAGTTCGGAAGTAGGTACTTATCAGTCATGGTTCAAATAATAACGTTAGTAAACTGTATCAAATAGAAGGTACGCAGCAGCACTCGGCCCTGTTCAAAATAATTTATCATCAACCACTACACCTGTACTAGTACCTGGTGAGCCCAGCCATGGTGCGGTGGTTGATGATAAGCATACTGTATCCATGATAGTATTATTAGCTTTAAATAGAACACGTCTACTGCATGGCGCTTTTCTCCCGAAAGAGAGAAATAACCGAATAACTGAGAAAACTGCAGTGCAGTAGTTGAGCGTGGAGTCCGTATCTGGCATGTACATGTGTGCCATGCATCATAGTACATGCATGGGAAATTATAGTGATGAAAGGCAATTACGGAATGATTCGATCCTACGCGCATATTACGGCCATTCGAGCGATATCATCGCATAATTACATGCACGCTGTGTACTTTGGTTTGAGTACTTGAGTGCAAAACCAGTGCTTGTCGCCGCGTGCACCATTTGCGTCTCCATACAAATCAACACCAAAATTAATGATGTCAAACCCAGGCTGCATGACCTCTACAGTGCAAAGCATCTCAAATCCTGACGTAACCGCGTACCGGTAACCTCATTGTGCCAAAAGCTGGAAAAAGGATTAAGTACAAGTAGAAAACTGGAAAAGACATAGAACCACAGCTATCGGCGTGTGAGATGAAGACAACGGCATACTATCTCATGCACTTGTAGTAAATGAAAACTGCGATTTCAGCAGCCATCAAAGTCCAGGATATAATTCCAAGGAAGAAGATATCCCTCAACTCTGGTTATCCGTGAGCACAATATTTCTCTATAAAATAGAAATAAAATAAAGCATTAGGTCTCTAGCATAAAGATAATCTGTTTTCTATAGCTTATAATAAGTCCAAGCTAAAATTGGGATGGAAAATAGGAAGAAAATAAGTAAAATATTTTGGTTAAATTTAATATCGGAGAAATGATAAAATCGAAATGTGCGCAACTGTTTATGAAGTTGTCCATAAACCTTAGCTTCTCAAGGAACAGTTCTAGCCAGTGAACGTGAATTTTCTGCAGTCAAACGAAAGTTACACATCTGCTGCTGGCAGAATCGTTCATGAAGTACAACTGCGCGAATATTTTCCCGGTGCACTGATAAAGTTAAAAAAAGACACCGTACAGAGAACACATGCAACAAACGATGAATCTTATTATGGGTGGATTGTGTTGTGTGCGTAAAAAAAACCCATAACTGCAGCACAAATCAAATCAAGCATGGCAAACCGTGTGCGCACACAAGGGCCGCAGAATGGCATAGCCTGATACACAAACCGCACTCGTCTGCACAGAGCTAGAGGTGGCTTTGTGCGTATATGTACAATAGTACTACATGCATACACGGATTAAAGTGGACAACATGGGTGTGTTGTGTATGGGTGGTCAGATAACCATAGTACATTGCTGGTGAAATCTCTGCCTGAAATGACAGTGTGCAGTTAGTTATCCGACAGGTGATGTGTCATGGATATGGCTTGTAGGCTCTACACACCACTTTGTCCTTATGGTTGTCCATGACACACATCATGGTAGAGAATAAGCAGCTGCTCACAGGAAATCACCACTCACCACTGCGCAGCGTCCTCGTACTGAGTTCGGCTGGAACCCCGGGGGTGGTTAGATAACGGATGTCTGGTTGGCATCATCAAACATCATGTACTCATCCTGATCACCGTCTTCTTCCTCAAGTAAAGCCGCAGCGCCGCCGCCACCACCACCACCAGGACCTGTGACACCACGAGGCAGGGTAAAATCCATGTAGTCTGTCTGTTCCCCGTCTAGTTGCTTGGGCTGCGAGTCGATGAACGGCAGTGTATGATCCGGTCTTCGGGCGGCAGGTGGCGGAGTGCGCGATTTGGACATCACCGCCGGCTTGACGTTACGCGCGAGTGACGTTGCCGGCGAGTTTGGCGCTGAGTGTGATTTGTACTTCTCCTCCTCGACTAGTTTGTCGAGGAACGGTGGCGCCTTGCTCGCTGGACCACCGCCTTCCCTGCTGCTGGTGCTACTACTGCCGCTGTCTGGCTTTCCGGGGATCTTGGCGGGGGCACGGGACGATATGGTGGGGCGAGCTGTATCGAGGACAGTCAAAACACCCGAGAAAAGTGTGTATGAGTGATTGTTTCGCATCAAGAAACACTTCAATGAATATTAGATGGAAGACAACTAGTCTTAGACAAACACACACACATACACACACATACATACACACACACACATGCACCCCCCCCCCCCCACACACACACACACATACATGCACACACACACACACACACACACGCACACACACACACACACACACACACACACACACACACACACACACACACACACATGCACACACACATAGTATGTCAGAGAGCCTGAGAGCCAGAAAGCCAGAGATAGACAGAGTCCGGGAAGGTTGTAGAGATAGGGGTGAGAAAGAAAGACATGGGATGAACGGAGGAAGACAGCAGAGAGATAGATGTAACGAGAAGGAGACAGAAAGACAAAAAGAAAGAAAAAGGAGAAGAGAAGAGAAGAGATTAGAAGAGAAGAGAAGAGACACACCATCAGGTAGGCATGCAGGTATGCAGGCACACAAGAAGACAGACAGAGAAAACATCAGCAAAGAGGAGAATCCACTCTTGCTGAGCACAGCCCATATAATTGTAATGATAATAATCACTGGTTTGAGAGAAAGACGAAAACGGGAATGTATGAAGAAAAATTGACTGTCACCACCAGGACTCCAACCAGGGACCTTCGCTTGAGGCCAGGGATGCTCTAACCACTGAGCTATGGTGTAGCCGTCATCCCAGCAGAGACCGTTCATAATAATAATAATAATAATAAGGCCAAACTAAAGAAGGTGTGTGGTTCGACTCACCCGACCGACCGTACAATTTCAGCCCGACCGTAACTTTTTTTCGGCGGGCTGTCGTGTGACTGACGTACGTGGACTGAACACGTCCACGTCTACGTGCTGTGCGGCGTGAGTCTGCGGACGCAGGCGGCTCCTTTTGGACTTGACTTGTAGTTGTACTGCAGTGCAGTGCAGTGAGTGGTACGACTGCTGCCTTGTGCTGGTAGTAGAGTCTACTCGATACGCGTATACAGTGTATTTACATGTACTAAAAAATATATTTAAAAAAAAAAATCCGCCCGCCCGCCCGTAAAAAAAATGTCCATGTTAGTCGAACCACACACCTTCTTTAGTTTGGCCTAACTATTATTGTAATGCAGTAACTTCATGAAGTATGTAACGTAAAAGTTAGGAACGTCGACGTCACCGCCAAAAACATGTCTTCCCTTCCCCCTCTGACATTCATTCCACAACAAATGCTCTACGTGCACTCATGTTGCTAACCTGCCACTAGAGGTTTCTTGCTGACGAGCGGGGAGCCATATTCCCCACTTGCCGGTCTGCTTTTCACATTGGCTGGATGCGGAGGTGTCGGCGATGAAGGAGCTGATGACGTGGCAGACGATAGTGGAGGTGTTGTTAACGCATGGGGTGATACACTACCACTGGGAGGTGATACGGATGATGATGCTCCTGGCGGAGGAGGTTGCGGCAGGCGTCGATGAGCCAATCCAGGACTTATTCCACCTACAACAAACATCGCAACACGGACATTCAGCAAACGTGGAGAAATGAGCAGAAAATGATTAGCTTCAACAGCAACATAATGGAATTGTTGGCTGTGAGCAGATGTCAGCGTATCTCACAACGGTTATGCACCAAGTGGCTAAGACCTCTATGTGCAAAGTGCTGAATTCCCCTGATTGACTCCTGTCAGGGCCAGAAATAGCAGTGAGTCGTCAGTAGAGCTAAATTGATGTTGTTTCGAGGAACGTTTGAGTCCTGACTTGGGTGTAGCCCTGACTTGGGTGTGGCACGCAACCTCTGTGTGTTTCCTAGAGGATATGACAGCTTGAAGTGACGCAGCTGGCGAATTATACAGATGAAATCTGTACTGACATGCAACTTTTGAATACCCCCACCGGGCACCCCCACCCCCACCTCCACCCCCACCTCCACCCCCACCCCCACCTCCACCTTTGAATACCCCCACCCCCACCCTCTGCACATACACGTAGAGTAAAACCTGTCAATGCAACCACTTGGATAAGGTGACCACTTGGATAAGGCGACCACCTGTCCTAGAAGACCACTGCAACTAGGACCAAGGGATGTGATTTCCAGTCAAATGACCCTGGATAAGGAGACCACCTGGTAACAGAGACCACGTTTTGAAGGTCCCTTGAGCAGTCATCTTAGACAGGTTTCACTGGACATAAAACTCTCCTCCTCCACGCGCTCTAAAGCCGACCATTGCTACCCTCAGTAGCCATTACTCACACCAATACTCCCAAACACTGGACATGTACATGTAAATAAAGTTGAGTTGTGCATACCTCCTTGTGACTTCACTGACGGCTTTCGTGACGGACCCGGAGATCCTTTGCTGACGTCCACACCCGATGCACCGGATACGGCTGCTCCAATAGCCAGCACACCTTTGAGCATGGAGGAGTCAGCTGATGCACTCAACTGTCGGTTGCTTGCTTCCGACGAACGGGAGCTGTGCGAATTCACGCTTGCTGGAGCAGCAACAAAATAGAGGGCAACGACACAAAAAACCATGTTTGAAAGGTAGAGACCCCACCAGCACAAGCGTATTCATGGACCCTGCTGAGTCTTAAACTGTCCAAACGCCACGTTTCTTCAAAATGAGAAAGTTTGCAATGTGAGTAGACAATGCCTAAAATATTACTTCCTGTTGTCACCATTCCGCAGAAAACGTCCGAACTGGACAAACAGGGCTTTGCGGCTCGACTCTCGGGATATGTTACGCATGGTTCTTGTCCTATGATCATGCCAAGACACAGCACCACGCCTGTTGGTCTGGTGCATGATGAAGGCAGCTATTGAGTGATTCAGTGAATCAAGAAGAAAGAGTATTTAGTCATGAGTCCGGGTTGTTACACCTGACGACTGCAACTACAGTGCTGTCCAATGAGTCAAGTTTGCGCAGCCCAGTGTTCGCAGGTCTAGGACTGCGCAAAGCCCTGCGCGTACTTAAGTGACTTGACTGGATTTCATTGAGCAACATTGTAGTTAGAACAAAGAGTATTCAAATAATAATTCATGACATCACAGGTCGGTCGTTGGTAAGAGTTCATCAGGCAATCCTAGACAAAAGGGATAGGCTAGATGAGACTCCGAGTAGTAACCACCAAACCAAGCTTGTCACTATTGCCAATTTTTGGTATAAGCTCTACTTCAAATATTGATCAAATAACTCAGAGTTCAAGCCAAAGGAGTATGGGGGGGGGGGGGGCAGCCCCCCCCCCTTACTGTCATAAAGGCACAGTTTTCTGGGTTGAAATTGGGGTTTCATGCTCGTACGTTGCATTTTGCATGGCATGACAATTTCGGAAAATGGAAAATTGGATTACGGGGCAACTGTTCCTCCTGCCCCCCCCCCCCCCCCTACTGTTTTGACCTGGCTAGAACCGTGTAACTCATGACAACTACTCAATCTACTCAATGTCTGTCAGTATTTACCTCTGTTGCTGGCTATCCCGGAATCGTGCGTAGTCATGTTCTTGCTGGAGGGAGCACCGGGTCGTCTAGGTTGCCCCATCTCATCCTCAATATCCTCATAACCTTCCTTCTCATCGTCCGACATCGGCTCATAGTCTTCACTATCACTGGACACTCCGGGCACTTTGATTGGAGGCGGTTTCTTGGTGGTCCGCGGTGATGGGTTTACCTGCACGAATCACAAGAGCACCACAGAGCAGCTGGGTGTTAGTCCGTGATGTTTGGTAGATTTCCAGTCAAATGACCCTGGATAAGGGGGACCACATGGTAACAGAGACCATGTTTTGAAGGTTCATTAAGCGGTCATCTTAGACAGGTTTCATTGTACACAAACATAGCATGGATTGCCAGTGCTAGGTGCGTGCTCGGCATTGACTGCTGCTAATGCATGCTACCAAGAGTACATAACCCCCCCAGAGTGTGCAACTCCACTATGGGTGCTGTCCCGACAGAATTTCAAGTTGACGTCATTTTGATGATGCAATGCGCACTGTACACGGATTATCAGACGAATCCGGAACCTGTGGTTGACCGAAGCCGATCGATCCTGTACAAATTATTGGAAAGAAAAACGTGTGATGCGTTGACACCCGTACACATGTTGTAAATCACTGGTGCAAGGAGCATTGCGTCATAAATAATGACGTCAACTTGAAATTCTGTCGGGACAGCAGGGTATGTGGGAGTTGCACACTCTGGGGGGGTTATGTACTCTTGATGCTACTGCAAGACATGTTATTATAACGAGTCGCAAATTTAACGGTTGTCCAAAATTCATAGGTTAACGAGAAGATACGTTAACGATCTTGCAATCTTCAGGTATAACCACACATAACACGTATGAGGCATTACAGCCTTGACAGAAGCAAATATAAAGAAGAAATGTAACTCGTTAAAACGTAACATTTACTTCCTCGTTTTATTTACATGTCTTACGGTACCTACTTTTGTTAGTGTGTACGTCGGCCGGCGGTGTGTGGGTGGTGGCTTGCCGTCGTTAGGAACGCCCAGATCAGCAGCAGCAGATGGTGGCTGCGGTGCGGTAGCGTAGCTTTCGGACGCGAAGACCAATTTCTGGCGCTCCAGATACTCCACCGGTGGGCGTATAGGCTCGGCTACATACTGCAGTACGGGCTCTCCATACACCTGCAGAGGAGAACAACGGGCACAAGGAACATACATTTTTGTTCTGACTGCATTTCTTTCACCATTCAATGATAAGTGAATTGCAGTAAAACCTGTTCTAACCGGACGCCATTGGTGCAGCGGAAACTGTCCTGATACGACAGGATTCCCCTTGATCCAGGGATGCACGCTCGATCCCCAGTGCTTTGGTGCATGACAATTTGTCACCTTCAATACATAGCCTTGTGTCTGAGATTCTATCCGCAGAATGTACATTGGAACCTGTCGGTCTATAACAATGCCTTCGGGTAACATAGAAACATGATTGTTATGACGGCATTGTCGTAACATATTGTTACCAGGGTTTTCGCCAAAGCGACATAGTGGGGCGATGCGCCCCTCCTTCACTTTTTGACCTCCCCCTTTCAAAATGAATACGCCACCCTTCAGACCTTTTTATATGCATAATCCCCTTAGCTCAATCTATTAATTTTGCATTGTTTTAACCTTTTGCGCCCTGGTGCTAAATCCCCTGATTCCTGCCACCGGCCGCCATGCCATACGCAATAGTCCCAGTATGCATTTGAAAATTATCTAATTTCACTCACCAGTTTCGTAATTATTTCTTTTTGGTCGCTTTGGAAAGCTACAGATGTCCTCTCTCCGAATATCGCCACTAGACACCCGGCAGGAGCAACAGAGTCGCCTTCAAGCCTGTTGAGAGCTGCCCTATTGCGCTTGAGCGAGATTCTGTACTTATCTCCACAAATTTTATCGTTTCTCAATTTTTACTCAACGTAGAACGATGATTCAAAGTCCTGCAGATTCATGAAGCTCAAGCGATTCATTTGATCTTTACTTCGCATGCGCTGCGCAGCGATGAGTCACTGGGAAAGTCCCCGTTTGAGGTACGCCGACGCACTTTGAAGCGCTCTGCGCACAAATTTTCGAAACAATTTCAAGCGTGTCCGTGTTTCGTTCTTCGATACTCAGTGATTCCGCACCGCGCTATATCAAACGACATACCACTGGAAAGCTAATTCTCTCACCTTTCCAATGAGCCATCATTCGCGAAAATCGGATAAAGGACAATGGAGTTACGACAATTTGAACAGTGGTGTATATGCACTGTACAAGTATGCGCTTTTACTTGACGCACATATGCGGCATCAGGAAATCAAGGTATGACGTTTTGACGCACATGTGCGGCATCAGTCCGGAAAGGGTTAATAGCTGCACTGCATATGATGATACTGTATGAACATACTTGGTCAATGTCGTCTTCGTCCTCATCATCTTCCTCATCTGCCAAAGCAAGATCCAACTCCTGTAAGACTTCAGCCTGCAAGGGAGGGAAGAACAAGGGTCAAAGGCAGCCATGACGTCTGAAAAACATAAACAACATTTCAGTGTCCACCAGTACATCGTCAACTGGAAAACGAAGCTTCCTCCAAATATTATTATTTACGTCAGCTGGTCTGATGCGTTTCCATCGGTGCAATAAGTCATTCAACTTTTCTCCTGAGAATGAAGTTGAAGCCTCCACTGCAGCTGTACTCATGGTTTGTTCATATGGTGGTGAATACGCACCTGGAAACATGATACATGCCTGTCCACACGCACTCCCTAACCTGCAAAGTTACTCTGTCACAGAGCTCTCATTCTCGGCGTGTAATTATCGCCATATTGCCAGGTGAATATTTATAGTACTGTCGGTCACCGATGAACTGGGGGGTCAGCCTCCTAGCCTAGACCGTCCTTTGACTGAGGGTCAGCCTCCTAGCCTAGACCGTCCTTTGACTGGGGTCAGCCTCCTAGCCTAGACCGTCCTTTGACTGGGGGGTCAGCCTCCTAGCCCAGACCGTCCTTTGACTGGGGGTCAGCCTCCTAGCCTAGACCGTCCTTTGTGTCTTATGTTCATGTACTGTGTACTACAGTCTATGCACAGTTGAGTCACCATGTATACATTGCTATGCTGTTCTTGATGAAATTCTAGCCTGATCGTTCTTCGGCGCTGCGTTCTTCGGCGCTGCGTTCTTCGGCGCTGCGTTCTTCGGCGCTGCGTTCTTCGGCGCGAGATAGTACTGTACCACCATATGAATCACATTTGCTCTAACCGAAAAGATACGTGTGACATTTCATAGAAATCACAACTATTTCTGAAACGAATTGAGTGGTTTCACATCTATCACATGACCATACAGGGAAGACATGTTGGTTACAACTCCACTCAACCCATGCATCTCTGGGTCACATGATGTCAGCCATGTTGGTTCCACTGTCCACAAGCCATAATCACTTTCTACAAACATTTCGTCACACGACAAACTGATGTGAACACCACTCTTTAGTGCTGTTTCCATAGTATTCATCAGCTGCCATGGTGATAAAAGTGCCGATGCTGTTGCTATAGTGATGTGTGCATACCTCATTGAGCACGCCTGACTGTGGTCGGTCCGGCAGAGGGTCGGGTTCAGAGAAGAAGTTGTGTATGCTGTTGGATCGCGATGCCGGCATAGAAATAGCCAAGCGTGGCGTCTCGTCTGGTAACTTTCCCAGGGTCATGGTCTGCAAGGAAAGAATGAGAACATAGAGGTGAACACACGGATGTACAAACAAAATTAATGATTCAGCTTATAATTCTTGCTTGCACTCGTCTTTCCCATTCAAACGTTCTAGCTCCTCACTACACAGGCAGAAGAATGAGCAGTTGTCTTTTCGTAATTCTGAGTTTAACGAGCTGGATCAATCATCAGACGAAAATTGAGTGGTAGCCCATAACTACAAAGGTTAACTTGGGAGGCTGCTTGCGTGTGCCACCAAGATGGGCTAGAGCTGACTGCCAGGCAGTTGAATATCACTATGAACTGTATGTGTTGGTGAAAAGTTCTAGAAGGTGCTTTTGGCCATCGGGTATATTTAGTGGGAAGCAATGCATGCACATTGCAAACAAATACATGTGTGCTCTACTTTGTTCTTAAGTTACCAAAAACTGGAGTTTCCAAGACATACCTTTGTCTTTTCATACGAATCACCGTCCGTTTCGTCGGCCAGAATCGCAACTGCCTCAAAGCGTACTGTTGATCCCGTTCTGGAGTAGAGGGCGCTTCGTGCGGCATCGTCGGCAAACTCATTTTCATCGCCTGATACGGCTTGGTCGTGTGCGTCTAGTGTGTCCTCGTCCTCACTGCAGTTCTCATTGCCATGCTCAGTCACCTGTCAACACACACACACACACACACACACACACACACACACACACACAGACACACACACACACACACAGACACACACAGACACACACACACACACAGACACACAGATACACACACACACAGACACAGACACACACACACACACACCAGAACATCTGAGTATCTACTACATAGTATGTGATAACAATGATTATGACAACACAACCATTTCTAGACCAACACTGGAACTGTGAGGTTCGCAAACACAACGGTATACAGGGGTGCAGCAGCCGGTCCGGCCGGACCATTTTTTTTTAACACAATGCCTAAAGTGCCCAGAATGCACGATTTTGCACCCTAATGTCAAAAGCTTCCTGGGCGAGAGCCCAGCCCCCCCCCCCCCCCTCCCTCCGGCCGGACCGCCTCCAACGGCTGCGCTACGCGCCTGTATAGCCATAGGTGGTAACGAGGATATAGTTCTTCTTTTTCTACAAAATCCACATATCTCCAGACACTGGGGTGAATAATGGAGTGTGGTGGTGGGGCCCATCACGCTCAGCCGACCAGAGGTCTCGGCTTCATAGCTCAATGGACGCACCAAGGGCAGATGTGCACAATTTACTTTTCTTTACGACGCACATGCGTAGCTTACCGCGTCTCCAAGGTACTTGACACTCGAGCGGATCTCAACGGCACGCCGGAGCAGGCGGTTTTGCCGCATTGCGTAGGCCGAATCCTTGTCCGTTCCCAAGCCAACGGACAGTGTGGAGCGCAGCACCTGCGGGGTTGTAATGAATGGTACATAAAGGCATGTACACACACACAGACACATGTACACATACACACACACACACACACACACACACATACACACACACAAACACACACACACACACACACACATCGACAAACAAACCCGTGCTCAAACGAGCAGAGAAAACTGCTGACAGCGCAAATTCATGAGAAAAACACAGCCTGCAAGAATACCAAATACGTCACCATCAGGAAGCAGTATTTGCACACGAAAAGGAGTACATGTAATGTCTTTACCCTGGGCGAGGTCATTCCACCGCTGTCCCCATAGATACTGTGCCGTCTTAGGTTGCTAAGCACCATGGCACTGGACCTGCGACTGACTGGCGGTTTCTGTGCGTGAGAACAGGACATACGAATACAAATTCACACACATGCATACACATACACGCATGCACATACGCACAAACACACACTTACAAATGCATACATACACACTTACACACACAAACAAACTTACACTGACACATACACAAACACACACACACACACCACACCACACACACCACACACACCACACACACACACACACACACACACACACACACACACACACACACACACACACACACACACATGTTCAACAAAAAAACAGGCCACATGAGGAGGGATAAACAACTGTACATCAGATCACACACAAGCAAGAAATCATGCAGATGCGGCCCATGATTGGAGCTTCAGGTGGGACAAACACCCACAATGATCCACTTTCCGGACAAAGGTATCCCCATTGCAAACACTGACACACACACCAGCACACATCATGACGCCAGCACATGCCACCACACCGGCAACAAGAAGAAAAAATAACAACAACTGCAAGAACTGGAGAGATAAGAGTGCTTGGGCCGGAGTGTACCATGCATCACAAGAATCATCATCATGATCATCAGAACCCTGTGTACAAGTACTGCTACTGGTACCAGTAAGCCGGCATGAAATACTGCATGCCATGCATGCACATATCAGAGATGAAGCTCTGAGTACAATAATAATAATTATTATCCCCTACCTTGCATGCTGCACATACAACACACACACGCATGCACACAGAGTCAGCCGGGGACAGACCATTTGCGACCCTGGTTCAAGTGGCACTTGAAATCCTAAAGTGCAAGACCGGGATTGATAACAGATTCCGTGCGATAACCCCACCCACAGGTACCCAGACTCTCAGACCCAGACCTCATCATGTATGACATGTTCACAGCCGGCTAGCTAAGATTATGCAATAGAGGTACAGTGTACTGTGTGTGTGTGTGTGTACCAGTACTTTCCCCTCCAACCGGAACCCCTCAAGGCCAACAGCTCAAGTGCTGTACTGCTTCCAAAGGAAATGGTGCACTTCAGCACATGACTCTCTTACTCTTCATTATCATCATCATCAAAATATTATTATTATTATTGATTTCATTTAAAGTGAGTGACAGCAAGTAATTAGTTAATTAATCAGCTCCGGCAACTCTGGCCTGAAGTGGGCGATTGAAACCCCTGGAGACAACCTAGCGAGCATAGCAGTGGCACGGCACTGAAACTGTCACATCACATCACGTCAAATCCCAGCCCCAGCTAACACAACAGAGCCATGCTACCCGGCTAGCGCAGTCTGCGCCATGCTGAGAGCTGAATGCAGTCTGCGCCATGCTGAGAGCTGAATGCAGTCTGCGCCATGCTGAGAGCTGAATGCAGTCCCTAGTAGTGCTGGCACAAGGACTCCTCTCTACTCTAGTAAGTCAGACAGAGTCAGTTTAGGAATATGAGAGTACTCCAGGACTACATAATGGGAGATGAGTTTCCGAGTGTGTTTATGTGAGAGAAGGTAGGGCCGTAGCAAGCCACCCAGCATTCATAACTATTTTTAAAAACAGCTATGCGATTGCATGACACACCATAGACAATTCCAAACTGTTTACTGGCTGCATAAGCAATGCACTGAACATTGAACGAAGAAAACCCGGAATCATCCCGTTATGTGTCGTATGAATTATTGTTCTCAAAATCCAGGATGTTAGGTACACATGATATGCTACACCAGCGGAAGGTATCCTTCCCTGTTATTAAGCTAACCCCAGCAACATTGTACACAGGTCTTCAAATATCAGGCACCACACTCATGAATATGATTCCATATTGAAGTTCATATCTCATGTCGGAATGTAGATTGAATGCAAAGCAATGCTTGGCCAAGCGAGGCTGACAAGCGAGGCTGACAACACACAATGGCACACACACACACAGGCTCTAATTTGCTAGCAGCAAAGAAGACAAACTTCTGGCAGTATGTACTTCTTATGAGGTTAGCGTTTCAAGTCACACTGAGTCAAGCCATATCAACAATAGCACAATGAGAAGTGGGTACTTCTAATGATAATATTGGCGGCGCACACTACATAAGTCAGCATCAACAGGTTTATCATAATTATCATGGGTAATGAGACAATTTCAGCTAGTATTAGATGATTAGTACATGGCGGTCAACAGTTCAAGAGAGCTTGAAGAGCTTCTAGGCCATAATGAGCAGGGATTAGTGTGTTACGAGGACAGCCAGTATTCACCATAGTCACACACGCGCGCACACACACAGACACACACCCACACACGCGCGCGCGCGCACGCATTGACAAGTTCATAATCCATCGCAATAACGGCCAAAGTACGACATGAAATAACAATGCCTGTGCATTTTTACCTCTCCAATCTCCTCTCTCTTTCTCTCTCTCTCTCTCTCTCTCTCTCACACACACACACACACACACACACACACACACACACACACACACACACACACACACACACACACACACACACACTCTCTCTCTCTCTCTCTCTCTCACTCTCTCTCGTTTCCACTTTCTCTATCAGGCAACACGTCATTTCTACCCATCAACCGCCAGTTTCACACATCAATCACAGTGTACACATTTAGACTTGCGACACACGCACACTTGCTTCAGTGTCAGTGTTGACCGATTCAAACACGGCAGCAGCTTGGCCGGGCGACTCTAGCCCATTCACCATCGCAGTTACGCTGCCCAGCCTGCCAAAGCTACCACTGCTCGAAGGCCGGGTTTTCTTAGCGACAACAGGAGGACGATCATCGTGATATGCTGCAGTAGTATCGCTGCTACCCGTCGCTGTGACCTCATCCACGGATCTCGCCGCCTCACGCACACGCACAACATTACGATCAAAACGAATCTTATGTGTTTTCTTACTGACCCTTAACTGTCGGCGTTGCGCCTCCTCGGGTAGTTCACCAGCGCCGCCGCCCCATCTGCGATTACGACGCTCGTCCCCGCTTTCGTATTCATCCTCTTCGTCATCCTCCTCGTCTTCGTCCGACGACTCTTCGCCAGAATCCTCGGCGCCCTCGGCGTACGGCAGTGAGTGCTCGCGCTGTCGTTCCAGCTCTTCGGTGCGCCGCTCCTCATCCTCGATTGCCTGCAGACGTGCCCTCTCCTCGGTCTGGCGCTTCACCCATGCCAGCTGACCATCGCCACTCGTGTCACCTGCACAAGGATGGATAGATGGACAGTGTGAGATCACCACAGGGTCTACGGAGGAAACCTATAACCCCCCTCCCCCTCAATCACACGGCTTACACAGTAGAGATGTCTGGCTTTGGCCAACTTCCCTTCAAGTTGTGTGCTGTTGCAATTGTTCTCTATGTCTCTGGGTATGGAAGTATATGTGGAGCGAGAATGCTAAGTCTCTCCCAAACCATAAAATTCTGAACGGTACCATTCGGCTGTTCAATAAGGCAACAATAACTCTTCTCCTCCATGCAGTCTGAGCCGACACATTGTTTGGAATTGTTGGTGTGTGTAATGGCTACCGAGGGTAGCAACTTGTCGGCTGACCGGGCATGGATGCGAAGAGTGATTGTTGCACCCCCCCCCCCCCCCAAACTATCACACACACTGATAATCACATGGCTTACCCGGTAGAGATAGGAAGCTCAGGACAACCTCATTGTCTCTGCCTCCCGTCGCCATGACAGTACCGTCCGGAGTGAACGCCAGTGCTTCCACGTCCTTCGTGCCGTGAACGGCGTGTCGGAATAGTAGGTCTCGCTCCGCCATCTCAGCCGGATCCCAGAAACAACAAGCGGTATCTCCTGCAGGAAAATAGAACACAAGAATCTCTCTCAGTGCGCAGGTCTTAAATATGGACATCACATCACACAAACACATTGTTCTAGGACAATTTCGATACGCCCGGTGATCTTAAAAATCATTTGCACTCTGGGGAGGGCATGGGGAGGGGTGTCTGTTAATCATAATATTATGACTCAAGGCACTGTTCACTTTGATGTGACATACGGTCACCAGACAAAGAACGGTGGTGGTGTAGGCGCGTACATGTAGTAAAAAATTGCTACCTAACTGACACGGAAGGGAGAGCTGAGAAAGCTGCCTGGATATGAGAGCTTCGGGTATGGGAGAGTACAGGTGTTCATGAAATCTCCGGATACTGCGCACAGCTTGCAGTTTCTCCTTGTTTGGAATCAGAACTTCGAGCGACTGGCCAAACTGACGGGAATGAAGTTTAGAGAACAACAAAACGGGTGGCTGCTGCTGGTGTTGCTACTGTTGCTGCTGCTGTTGCTGCTGCTACAAAAATGTGTTTTATTGAATGCACAAAGCAATGATAATAAGAATGCAGGAAGAGCAAAGAACTCAAAGAGAGAACAGCAAAATTGCTGGTGCTGCTGCTGCTGCTAGGTTGTGTATTGCCTGGCTCCCCTGCACCGGACATCACTGCTAGCTAGCGTGTTACATGGCTCACCTGCACTGGCTAGCATTGTCTTTCCTTCCCAGGGACCTGTGCTAGGATGAAACGCCAGTGCCTTTATGGCGTCAGAGTGCTCGCGCAGCTGCGATATCACCTTGCCTTCCCGAGAATCCCAAACAGTTACCTGAGCAAGAATAAGAAGAGGACATAGCATAGGACATTAACTTAACAGAGAAATTCTAGATAGTGGGCTAGAGACTATCATGGCTGCTAAATTCCCAGAGTATCATTGTAAGTAGGCAGGGTTTTTGCACAGGAATCCTACAATGTCCTTAGCCCAAGGCGCTGTACTGTATCTGTAAAGTCCGCTGAGGGGTTTTCCCGGACTTCCATTGGCTTCCAGTTGGAATTGCTTTTTCGCATTGATTTGTTTCCTTTTGGTGCAGCATATGGATAACACCACATCTTGGTGCCGGTCCGGCAGCCTTCTACCATCAAGATTGACAACACAGGATGGCTTTTGTTCTCTTGTAACTACTTGCACTTGGGCACTACATCATTACTCTTCACCGGGTGGGAAGAGTGAGAGATTTTATTATTTCTACCCGCTGTGTAAAAACTAAATCAAGCCACTGGAGCCATTCCAAAGGTGTGCACATATATATACACACACATGGGGCCTGGCCAGAGGCCTCTTCACAGACATAACCCTATCAGTGGGACCTTCCAAGGTGATACTCAAGCAGATCGGATAAGGACACACAGACAACTGAGGTGATCGGATGAGTGATGCCGGAGTTCTCAAGGTGAGCGCCATACCGTAAAATTCCGTAAATAAGCCCACCCTAAATAACGCCCATGTCCGATAATAAGCCCAGTTTTATGCGGTGTACACTTCAAGTCCGTTTTAGCGCCCATGCCCGAAATAAGCCCAGGGCGTAAAGTGGACTCAAAATGACCAGTGCGCGAGCGTTCGTTCGCGTACAAACTGTAGAACAGTTGTAGATCGAGTGCATGCCATCCAACTGCACGCAGCACAGTGCAGAACTCAACACTGTCACGGCGCGCGAGGACAGCGATATTCCGTTGGAATGTAGCAAACTGCCAAAAATGTAGCAAAATATGTCGCGCTTACCTGTACGTAGTGGCTTGTAGTGGCGCATGAGGAGGAAGATTGATCTTCTCCAGATTGCGTCCGAAATAACGCCCATGCCCAAATATACGCCCGGTTTTTGACTCTCTGCAAAGTATAGGCCCGGGGCTTATTAACGGAATATTACGGTTTAGTTATTATGCCAGAGCATCTGGTGAAAGGAGAGCGATCGCTCTCGCGCGCCTTCGCTCTCCTTATTTTCATTTTGGGCGCACTTTTCGTCGCGTGCCTTGAGAATTTCGAGCGCTATGAAGTGCATTCTACAAACAATCACATATCTCGTAACTCGGCTTTCCCTGAACGGACGGAATTTAGTAATCGAAAGGTCTATTGGCATTAGAATGTTCTCAGCTGACGGCTCCAACAAATCCGAAGTCGAACAGAGGTCGAATAGTGGAGCTACGGGACTCGCAAGGTATTTTACGTCCCGTTGCAAATTTCACTTCTGCACTTGGGTGGCAATCATAATTTTGACATCAAGGACTTCCCTCTGTTGCATGATAGTCTAGTCCAGGCATGCATAGACCTGTGTGACGTCAGGCACAGGTCTTTAGCGGTCAGCTACAAAAGAAAGGAGCGCTCTACGATGAATACTACAAAAATACCATGGATCTTAGCAAAATTAATTGTCTCAATTTCCCGTTGTGCGTGTTTTCCCAGGGCTATAGTGCCACTGCAGTAGCACTCCAGCTGGTGAAAATCCCACTGGTGTGGGACTGCTCTCCCACCACTCTCCTTGAGAGGATAGCGAGAGCGATTGTTCACTCTCCTGGATTTTTCTTACACGAACCGGGTCTGTTATGCATTGATTATCTTGTCCTGTGATCAGCACCACCACTAGCGGTCATCTTACCCTGTGATCAGCACCACCACTAGCGGTCATCTTACCCTGTGATCGGCATCCCCACTAGCAACCATCTTGTCCTGTGATTGGCACCCCCACTAGCGATCATCTTACCCTGTGATCAGCACCATCCCTAGCGGTCATCTTACCCTGTGATCAGCACCACCACTAGCGGTCATCTTACCCTGTGATCGGCATCCCCACTAGCAACCATCTTGTCCTGTGATTGGCACCCCCACTAGCGATCATCTTACCCTGTGATCAGCACCACCACTAGCGATCATCTTACCCTGTGATCGGCACCACCACTAGCAATCGTCTTGCCATCCGGAGACCATCTGCAGCAGCATACAGCGTCGTCGTGACCTCCAATCAGCGTACGCATCGGCTTGTTCCCTGCAACAACAACAACAACAACAACAACAACAACAACAACAACAACAACAACAACAACAACAACAACAACAACAACAACAACAACAACAACAACAACAACAAAAACAACAACAACAACAACAACAACAACAACAACAACAACAACAACAACAACAACAACAACAACAACAACAACAACAACAACAACAGTGATGAATTGAACGGCATACGGACAAGCAAAGGCGTAAATGAGACAGCAGCGGTCAATGAACAAGTGCACCCTCTCACACTGAATTGATCGATTGATATGGCTCGAGGGGTATACAGTGACAGTCGGGAGGGTAAGCGGCAGCTGTCGGCTTGCTCAAGGACGAGGAGGTCGGTTGGAGAGCACATGTGAGGTCGTGGGGGGTGGGGTGGGGGGGGGGGGGGGGGGTAAACTAGAGGTATACAATGGCAAGTAACAAAGGTAGAATACGTCTAGTGTTCCTTGACCGTCAGTCATATAACATAGAGTTAAGGAGAGAGCTTTGGCCATCCCATACCAGTAGACATAGACTACGGAGAGAGCTTTGGACATCCCATACCAGTAGACAGAAAGACAGTATGGACATGAGGAAAAGATACCTAGGATACAAACTCAAAGTTACAACCCGATTCAAAACTTGACATTTTAGCTTTCTCCGACGTTTTGGCCCTTATTATTACTGCAGTATTCTTTTTTACAAATTTGTCACAAGATTATATTTATAGTGAGAGCCTGAGGGAACCGGCACTTATGGGTTACACTCAAATGTGTTACATACCCACTGCTGGCGCTTAAGACAAACGTTTCGCTTCAATCTATTCAAAGCCTATGTGACTCCGGAATGTGGAATGGCAATTACACAGATTTTGCCTAAACAAAAAAATTGCATGCTGCTGCTGCTGCTTTGACCGGCATTTCACACCCTGTGCCAAAATGTCTAGGAATCCATCTTGCACCGGGTTAGAGTCACTACGCTTTGACAATGCCTTGATGACGCTAGTTCGATTACCGCTACGAATAGGAAAATTGTGCTGTCAACCTTAGTTTCCGAACTAAGATGCTGCGACATCGACACAGGGATCTCCCACTACATACTGCACCATGCCAAGGACAGAGTGGATCCAGAAGTCATTATTTGTTGATGTCTGATGTCATACGATTGATTGTCACCAAATGCAGCATGTAGAGAGACCAATGGTCACTTTTCGGAATCACGTGCGAGAATCGCTGGTGACCAGGCGTAGCCCAGTTCACGTTCGGTTTGTACGGGAATGGACGCATGGAGATGAAAGAAGCACTAGGATGGCGCTCAAATTCATGTCCGACACTCATCTTGAGTCAGAGCAGCTGCAAGGAAGCCCTTCCCTGGCGTGAGTGGAAAAGAACAAGCATCAGAATCGCTCCAAGCACTGGTGGAGACGAACTTATCACATGTCGTATACTTTTCAATGCATATTTAATGCGTGACCTGTTCACCAAAATCTCGAGGTGAGCGCCGCTGGCGGGTATGGCGCCGCGTCTATGGAAACGCTCTATAGCTGTACCCAAATATGGCAAAGCACATACTACATGGACCACAACACGGGACTGGTTTAATTCTGGCGCTGGAAAATTTATTTTCTTGGTGCTATCAGGTCTGGCCTCATTTTCTCTGTGCTGCGCTGATGAGTCCACAAAGGACGAACCAGCATGCTGTTCGCAGACTGAGTGCACCATAGAACAGAGACTGTTTTAAAAGTCTAACAGGGTTCTTGCAGCACTACGACACTAACATATTTCCCTGAATGTAAATAGCACCTTTTTTATGTTTACAGTAAACCTGTGACTAACGACCACGCCTTGGGGCCAGCGAAAGCGGTCTTTAGTAGCAGGTGGTCCTTAGTTAGAGGTTTGCACCGCACAACCATAATGGAATATGAGACCGTCCGTGCCTGGCGAAGTGCTCAGTAGTGCCAGACTGGTCGCTAGTCACGTGGTCTTTAGTTACAGGTGTTACTGTGACTTCAAGGGCAAAGAAGCGACTTACAATCAAGTGTGACATTCGACCTATGTGACTATACTAAGGGGTCGTCGCAAAAGTTTTTTGTCGTCCCTGAAACGAACATGATTCATTTGGGGGGGAGGGGGTGCGAGCCAAAATCGCAAGTCGACCGACACTGTACACATGACATGTACATGCATGCGATTTTCGTCGTCCAGCATAGCAAGCTGTGTTCGTTTCAGAGGGAGGGCCGGGGGTCCAAGCACGAAATGAACGATGTTCGTTTCAGGGACGACAGAAAACTTTTGCGACGACCCCTAAGACAATATAACTCAATCCTGAAAGGTGGGTGAGATTTATAATCAGGTAAATACGGAACACAATAAAAAGTGCTCGATCCTGATCGCAATCGCAAACACTTTTTCCCCGCAAAAGGCAAAAAATGGTTGGGCGCAAACATTTGTCCCGTAAAATTATTTCCCTTTACGGTACCTTGCATTCGTGTGTCCCATATCCGCACTGTCTCGTCCTCACTGGCCGAGCACACCACGTTACTCGTGGCCGCCGGATGGAAGTGACACGAGTACACGCCCTTCGTGTGTCCATTCAGCGTCGTCAGCAGACTGCCCGTGGCCGGGTCCCACACGCGTATGGTCTTGTCCCACGACGCTGTGGCCAGCGCGGAGCCGTTTGCGGAGAAACTCGAGTCCATCACCCAGCCGAAGTGCTCCTTGAGGCAGACCAGCATCTCTGCGGACTCCACGCTCCACAGACACGCCGTGCAGTCAGCACTGCCAGTAGCTATCAGCGACCCATCTGGAGGAAACCAGCTGAGGGTCGTGATTGGTACTGCATGCTGGTCCTTCAGCGTACACACAGTGTCCAGTGTGAACAGATCCCACACGCGAACCTCCTTGTCCCAGCTGGCTGATGCCAGCATTGTACCATCCACGTTGAACTCCAGATCGCTGAGCTGCCATCGGTGGCCAGTCAGCCTGGCCTTCTCCTCCACGTTCACGTCCAGCGAGAAAGCCATGTTGACGCACGCCGTTGAGAGCAAGCAGCCAATGGCAAGAGAAACAACACTGGTCTACTCGCTCGCTCGCACCGATATGGCGAAACAATTCCTCCTCCAGCCAGCTGCCTGCTAGCTCCAGCTCACCGTGCACACAAGATAGAGTTCATTCTGCCATGCCTATCTGTCAACACGCGCGCACCATCATCGGGCAGGCCAAGCGCACACCTCCTTCGGTTTCACTCAGCGCACAGTGCGCTTTTCGCCAACTGCTCGCAGTCGCAAGCAGGTACCGAGTGGCGCAGTGAGTGAGCGTCCCGTCAAGGTGTCCTTGGCGATATTACCCGTGCTGTCGTTGATCGTTTCATAGAATAGACGGCGGCCAAATCACAGGGCATGCAAGCGCTGGGGCGATGCCGGTTTTCGTTTAGAAACCGTTCCACGTGTGACATCCACCCAGCAGCAAATGAAGCGTCACTGGTAATGACTTATTTCCCTCGGCTCACCTAGCTAGCTGCCAGCGAGCGCAAGGCCTGGCTAGCGCAGTCCTGTTCACTGTTTTACGCTCGATAGAATCGCATCAGCGCGCTTGCCCGCTAGCTTCACGACGCTACAAATAGTCAGTCATCAGCAGGGCAAAAACAAAAAACGCCTTCCTGCTGGTCAGATGTGCCGAAGGCCGCAGAGGATGACACGATACATCTGTGATACCATTGGATACGGTCCACAAACTTTTCCTTGCTGTCTATCATTTGTCCCGAGCAGGAAGTATTTAGCGCACCACCACTAGTACTAGTACATGTACTAGCATGCAACGCAGCATGCAGCCTGTCCTCCGTGTTTTATCTAGCCTAGGTTTTGTCACTTTTGTGTGCATGTGGAGTCTATGAGTCTGACTGAGTATGAGACGGCTGTGCATGTGACGTGCTTTCGAGTGGATATGCAGGGTCTGGCAGTGGCACGTGCCCGTTACCTGTCACGATATGAGCGATGTCAGTGCCACCACCATCATTCACGGTGACTTCATGTGCACCAACTAACGACATGGCGTCCTTTCATGCGGTTTACCGCACGGATTTATGAAGTCGGACATATTCCGATTTATTTGCATCAATCGCACAAAATTAGGTACATTTCTCTTGTAAACCCTGTCAGTTTGAGAATTTAGACAAACACCGAACAAATTTTAGCCGCGACGAGGATCGGGAGAAATCCATCATAATTTTTACATAGCTACTACGATCACGTCGACCGAGTGAAGATCGAAATTAATGATAATGGAGTGGAGAGAAGAAGACCTGAACTAGAGTGCTTGAGAGACTATGTAGTGTCACATGAGAATTGCTTCGTTAGGAAGGCTCTCCTTTTGAATGGAGAAGCCCAACGTCGCTGATCTGCATCGCCGTTTTCAAGCGCTGATCTGCAGTAGGAATGTTTTTGTAAATTATTCGTAGTTGTGGACGTGGATGGATTCAGCGCTCTGTTCTCTCAGCAAGCCTACTCAGTCCAACACGAAGGACTTCCATGAGCGAAACAACGTGCTCCTCGAGCAAGTGCAGCTCGGGGTAATATGGCCAATGCCACGGGAGACCACCTCGTGCCTGCATAAGGCCAAGAATTGATAGCAAGAAATCTTTGATGAGCGCCTTCGACTTCAAGGACGCAATATTATATCTCCTCAGCAGTAACTGCAGCGCTCTTGCTGAAAATATCACTGCCAGCAGGCACTAGGCATGATTTAGTGAAGAGCTACTTGTACTAGCGATTGGAGATTTGGTGTTGGCATATCTGCTCCATCATGGTAACTGGTGCGTTTGTCAAGGCAGTGCAGTTTCTGCTGCTGTTTCACAAGCCATATGCGCATATGCGCAGTGAGTAGGAATTTGTTGTATGATAGCTGAGGATCACCAGCCTTCATGGACAAACCTATGTTGGGACTGGTTGCTGAACAGTGCACACCTAAATCTCTCAGCAAGCTCTCTTGCTCAGCTGGTGACGAACACTATATACCCGCTGCTTTGGGCTTGCAGCCCCGTCTCCCGACCGTAGACCGATCGAAAGGCTGTCACGGTCCTGTGACCATCGGCGTACAGTTGACACTGATGGGGCATCGGATAAAGTGCTGGCGTCAGTAATTCTCTTGTATACCTGGAATCTACATCTACAGCTGGTTTCGACTTCCAGCCATCCTCCGTTAGTTATGCTTGTGACTATCATGCCAGCAAGTCGATCAGCAGCATCACCTCGCATCTTTGATGGTGAGGCCTGCAAAACGTCACCGACCAGTGACGATGCTCAAATAGGGCACCCTACCAGAGCTGGCGCAGTGTATGGTGCAGTCTTTCATGAATCCATAAACTATGCTGTTCGGCTGCTGTAGCTCTGACGCTTGCGTGTGTGCCTTACATTAAGGGCAGCGGGCCGTCTGCTCTAGCCATTTGCCAATGCATGCACGGCTGAACGGCTACCAGCAAGCTGCAAACACTTCTCTCTCTACCTGTGACATAGTGGACATTGTGCGTGTGTTATTGCATTCCTAAATGAACTGTTCTGGATGCAGAGATTTACCCACTAAGCCCTAGAGAAATATGAATAAATACTATACTACTATTACTAAACTTGGTATGCGGGTGTGACGTGCTGCTGCTCATCAGATTCGGTCCATGCGACGCTCGTGTTTTTAGTTTTGTTATTTTGTCTTCCTTTTTTGAATTCGTAAACCAAACAGACTAAACTATCCAGTGATCAGGTACTGGTGTGGTGGGGCAAGGTTTTGTTGGTGATTCTGCTGTCAGTGGTGGCGGCGTGCATGTGCTCGTGCTTGCGGGCGATGGCCCGCGTTTTCTCCCATGCCGCAAGTTTGTCTTGCGTTTGTGTTTTGCATTTGGACTTCCTGCCAGGCTTGGAAGACTTGCATTTCAAACAGTTTGTCCCACTGTGTGGATCCCAGTCTTTGAACGGTGTACATCCACCTCTGGAGCTCCAGAGAATGTTGGGCCCCTGGCAGTAGCAGTGCATTCCATGGCCAATTTGCAAGTGTGGCAAAAAGGGTGTATTTGGTTTCATCCACATCAAGCTGAGATGAAACACTGCCAAAATGGATTGAGTATGATCTGCCACACGATACTTCGTCCGTCCACTCCTTGACGCGAATTTCTCCCCTCCAATACGACAACACGACGACAGGAAGCTAACATGAGCCTCCATTTCTGAACAAAATAACGTCTCTAACATGGCCACGAAAAGCTACAGTTATGCACGTCAAGCTTAGGAATACACGAAATCGAAAGGCTAGGACATCGAGGTATACTAGAAAATTGTCTGCGAGGCGGAGAAAATTCGCTGACGAGGTTGGTGAGCCCTTGAAATCGAGCGACGATCCAAAAATAATTGCACCCACGTCGAGAAAGAAACCATGCGTAGCGCGTGGGTAACCCAAAAAGATCGCTCGAGCGGCGGCACAGTCGAAGGCAAGGCCAGTCCAAGCTCTAAACTCTATCGAATGACCTGGCAAACACCCGTGGTTTCGGTTGACCTTGCCCGTTTGAGATGGAAGTCGAGCGAAATTGCAAACATACAACTAGGCCAGGTCGCGTAAAAAATGAAAAATATTAAAATTTGGCCGCCATATTTAATGAACGCCCGTCGCATGCATGGGACAGCCGTGCATTGTCATCATGACCATGCCAGCGCCAGGTGACCAGGTACTTGTCCCAACAAAGGCCAAGCTTTGGCAAGCTAGGCCCGGCCTGCCCGACCCGTGAGTGGAGCTAGCTGGAGACTAGACGTGGAGACGTCTCTCCCCAAATATTGAAATAATACTAGGCCGGATATCATGGATATGCAGATCGGCACGACGGCAGTAGAACTGAGTAGATCTACTACTACACTACAGACAGTCATGTAGTAAAAGTAGCATCACCGCTCAATCCTGGTCTAGATTAGACGAATCGAACGCGTACAATAAAACCGTGCTCATGTCAACGTGAGTGAGACGACACCTCGAACACAACCATGACAAAGAGAATGGTCAAGGCAACAGTTGCCAAGCACACGCACAGCAGGTTCAGAATTATTTTGCAAAACAAATTTTCTTCGAGGGCCAGATCTGAGAAAAGCTGAGACGTCAGTCTTGTCGTCGTATCGGAGATCGAGAAAGAAAGCCGAGCTACGAGCGATTGTGGTTTCTCGCAGTCTACAGATTTCTTATTTCTCAGCTGAGTTGAGTCGAGGGTGCTGGGGAGATCCTGCCGCTGGCATTTAGCTATAAGGTGTTGCTAGTCGAGAGATCAGCGCTGCTAGCTTGCGTGCTGTGAAGCTACCATTCAGACAAGAAGTGGTTGGGAGCCATTCATATTATTTGCATTTTCTTTCTTTTCAGTTGGGTTGGGTACTTGGAATACATGTAGCTGTTGGTACTGTAGCAAGTATCTGCAGATCTGTCCACAGTCAGTGACCGTGTGACGCTTCCACTGCTGGTCGCTACGGGGACCAGGAGCGTTCAAGGCACGCCGCTTGCACTTGCAGCCAGCACTGCTCATGAGCTCACCAGTCGGCGAAGGTAAAATCGGGGTGAGTGTTATACCTGCAGCGCATGCGATCCAGTGATGTGAGTACATCTCCAAACCTAACAAAACAAAAATTATGCCCGCCGTTCCATACATTGTACATCTTGCTAAATCCACTCAACGTTGCAACTACATGTGCATTGTGCCGCAAAGACTTGCGTAAAAAAAAGACTCTTGCTTCTACGCATTCTTATTCTCATAGCAATGGAAAGCCTTCTTTATTAGGCATTCTCCACAGGTTTCACTGCGGTGTGTCTTCACAAAAGTCAGGCTTTCATGTACTGTAAAACGGGTAATTTTAGCGACGTAAAAACCCTAGCGAATTTAGCGATCGACTCATTTTCGCTAAAGTTTCAAGTCGCTAATCCGTTGAGACATTAGTAATGCACTGACGATCTGTGAGTGAAATCGCTGCAAATCGCTAAAGTAAAACGTCGCTAACCGGTTGACAATGAGAAAAAGCTAAAATTACCCGTTCTACAGTATGTGGCAGCTGTCAGTCTTTGAGAGTCAAACTTGTATTCAAAACATCTTACCGCTTGTGACGGGCTTCTAGTTTTAGTGGCATTCTAACACGTGATAGTACGGTAGAGTGCAAGCGACCCTGTTCCTAAGTGACACAGTAGTAATGTGCTGTTATGTCGCATACAGCGCCATGACTAGCGCGGAGATATGGCAACACAGCGCCTAGTCGGAACTATGCGTATGTGTACAAACAGGTGCTTTTCCAATGTTGGCGCTAATCTAGAGTTACTAGTAAGTTGTGGAATGCATTGTAATAAGAGATACTACTGCCAAGCAGCTACCCTATCGGGCCACGCCGCTCCCAGAAGCGGGAGACAACGACAAGAAGAGAGAAGAGAAGAGAGAGAAATCGCAAACACACACACACACCTCAGACCTCAGACATGCCCATCGCGGAAGCGATGATAGCGAACAGCTATGTTAGACATAGTAACTTGTGCTGGGATTACACCATTCAACAGCTTGCAAGGCTGACACACACACAAACACACACACACACACATAAGTCACCTACATGTACGCATCGTGACAGACTCACAATGACACACAGCCCTTCACAGCCACGTGAAGTGTCTGGCACTCTGCACCTTTCTCCGGGCGTAACATGCACCAGATTGTGTGACTACACAGTGTGAATCACCATTCACACTGCATTTTCCACATAAACCCAACCATGACCTTATGACAGCCTTTCATTGTCGTTTGAATGATTTGTGCTGGATCCAAATCACAAAATGGCCATACGTGTATAACTCTAGCATGTAAAGTGTTCCTGGATAAACGCCCTCTTTAACCATGCTTTCCGCTCGAAAAACGAAAAAGAAGAAGAAGCGGCTGATTAGACAGAGACGGTTGTCTGCTATAGAAGAGGAGTCAGAGGACTGTGCGAGGGGGAGCAATGCTGAAGGTGTAGTAGGCAGCGAAGAGAATGAGGGTGGCTTTAATGGTGGTTGCCGGGCAGACAGCGGCGTGAGTGAACCAAACAGTGATGATGTTGCTGCTGGTGCTGAAATGGACGCCAGCACTGAACCAGATAGAGGCGACGACATGCCTGCAAGCACTGGTAAAGCTGAATTACCGGAGGAAGAGAAGAGGGCCGCACCAGCAGCACGTGCATGGCAACGAGAGCAGCAGCGACTCTACAGAGACGGGCACGATGAGTTTGGACGGTGCGATGACGAGTCGCCTGCCGATCTGCTGCATGATAGCGCAAAGCTGCGCGCCGAGGAAGAGGAAGCCGTTCAGTTCATCTACGAGGACATCTTGCGCCGTGAGCTGGAGCAAGCGCACGAGCACCAGGTTGAGGCGTACGAGGCAAAGTCACACAGGGGACGCATACGCATTCGCGAACGCGATCGGCAGAAAAGGGACATCCTACGCGAGGAGCTGGCGGGCTCCGAAGACGGAATTCGCACTAAACGTGTCACGTGCAACGTCAATGGCATGACAGTGATGTGTGAACGATTCGAACTGGATGCCGACGACTCCGAGGCAGACTTGAAGGAGGCAGGCGCTAAGTTGGACAAAGTCGAGTCGCCGCTTTGCTCTGCGCTCCCCGTAAATTTTAAAGTCTGGGATGAACACGACTGTGAGATTAGAGAGGAATACGATATATCCACCGTCCTTGCCCACTTGAACTTCCACCAGAAGCGAGCCGTGTTGGATTTGATCGGCGGCGATGATCTAGAGTTTCAGCAGCTGGCATTGCGCCACAAGGCTAGCAGGGGCAGGAAACCGATAATGGACCACGACGACATACGCCGCCTCAAGGCCACACTACACAAGTTTGCCGTGACGCAGAACGAGCCGGGGTTCACGGACGAGTGGGACAGGCGTTCCTACTTCTACCCGCCCATTATTCCAACCCGTACAATTGCGCCGTGCCCAAAAAGGCCCGGCAACCGTGCAAAAAGGCCCGCGAAGCCCTCACCCGAAGTCCCAAGCGACGATTGCGTTGTCACAAGAGTCCCTACCGGTCCTAATGCTGATAATGCGCTGAAGAGATTTCTACGAGAATGCCGTGGCAACATAGACAATGAAGTGAGTACAAATCAGGGAGAAGAAGGCGTGCTGAACGCCAACGGAGGCTGGAACAGGGAGGACAGAGAGCCAATGGCTGTGCCTGCAGTGGAGTCTGTGGATGGTACAACGTCGGATGGTCGTCCTAAACAGTGCGAGCACCACCGGGCGCATGGCAAAGGGCAAGACACTCCGGGATGTGTACACTGCAATCTATTGAACAGCCGCCGGCAGGGTGTATGTCCGGGGACAGCACCGCTGCCGGTAAGTGAAGTACCACCAGAAATGATCGGCAGTTCACAGCCCCATGACCAAGAGCAGCCGGAGCAACCTAGGAAGAGAGTGCGTTTCAACGACGCAGTAGAGTGCGTTGGTGTTACGCCGCGTGCTGAGAAGATATCCAGGTGTGCGCAAGAGAAGACTTTGAAGACTGATGGCGGAAAGAATCAGAAGAATCGTGCCAAGGCAGCAGGTCGAAATTCGCCGCAGGGGGTGTCGGGTGAAGCTCTAATGAAGCTCATGGCCGGTGAGTATACTGAAGGCAATCTTGTTTTGTTGTAGCTCCCGATGCCATAACTGTCATAGTTGGCACCACCGAAACTTCCGCTGACATCTCGCACAGTAACCGGAGATGGTTTTGATTTCATCGTTCGGAATACCACAAGAACTTTCGAAACTGATTCCAAACTAGGATTTCAATCTTTCGGTGCTTCACAGTGGTGGCAAGGCCAGAGTCCTGCTCGATCTGTGCTGCAGGTGGATTATCCAATCGCCCTCCGTCAACTCTGTGGTCTCAATCAAGGTCAAACGCCATTCCGTACTGCCTGTCATCTTTCAATATCATTCGTTCGTATCTTATGTGAAGGTTTCGTGAAAAGTAAATGGATCCCTATCAGAGGGGTTTCCTGGAAGGGTGAATAGAAAGAGAAGTAAGTGAAGAAAGCTACTAGGTTAGCGGAAACACTGCTCAAGAAAATCTACTGGTAAAACCGCCGGTGAGAAGCAGAATTCTTCGAAGTACATGACCAGTGCACTTCAAGTAGAAGTGCACTAGTCTATGGCGATGTTAGCGTATTGTATTCTACTGCAATACGCATGTTGGATTTTGTTTGTCATTGCAATCTCTTTCTATGTAGGTGATATCAAATCGTGGCTGATGGATTCACACAAGATTAGCGGTGCTGGCTCTGGCTTGCAGTCACGCAAGACGGAGCCCAGGATACCAGCGTAAGTGCAGCAAACAAATTGTTTTTTTTCGGGTGGAGGGCCAAGGATTAATTTATAAGAAGAAAAGAGAACCAAAGAGCTTAAAGTACGCTATAACAGTGCTGCCAACCAACTGGGTCTGTTTTGCGTACTGGGATGTCTGATTTCCGTATTTAGCAGTGTTTTTCCGTACTATCGTGTGCATTGCTTGTATTGTGCTTTTTCAAAAATGTTGACACTCACATGCTAGTCGATGACTGAATTTGCTAGTGCAAAACTTGTGTGACTGTACCACGACATGATATTTCGTGCTACATGTAGTCGAAGCGTGGCATGCACTCGCTTTGGCACAGGGATATTCATCGCTCAGCTTACGCTTGCCATGCTTCTACATATTATATATCTGTAGCTGATCGATCCTCTTCAATTTTCAGGGAAACGACGGAATGGAAATCATTTCCAGACCAGCGAAAACATGCTACGTAGTTGAACTCCTGCCTCACCATGTCATCTGTGCAGAGCGTATCTGACCATCTCCCTTGCATTTTCTCTCTCGTTCTCTCTTTCTTTCTTTCTCTCTCTTTTCTTTCTTTCTCTCTCTCTTTCTTTCTTTCTCTCTCTTTCTCTCTCTCTCTCTCACACACACACACACACACACACACACACACACACACACACACACACACTCTCTCTCTCTCTCTCTCCTCTCCCTCTCTCTCTCTCTCTCTCTCTCTCTCTCTCTCTCTCTCTCTCTCTCTCTCTCTCTCTCTCTCTCTCTCTCTCTCTCTCTCTCTCTCTCTCTCTCTCTCTCTCTCTCACACACACACACACACACACACACACACACACACACACACACACACTCTCTCTCTCTCTCTCTCTCTCTCTCTCTCCCACTCTCTCTCCCTCTCTCTCTCTCTCTCTCCTTAGTTCCCCGGCACCATGTGGCCATTGTGACTCAAATTGTATTGCTTCTCATGTGATCCTTTATACTGTTGAGTTCGAAACATTACAACTGACGACACATTATCCCGACATTACAACGGGAACAGGTAGGTTGGGGGAACGACATTTATTAGAGACGACGAGACAAGAGACCAAGACGAACGAAACGACTACATTGAAGAGTGAGAAAAGAGAGGAAGAGATCAAGTCTGAAGGGCAAGATAAAGGGCCTGGGTAGCTATGGCAAATATGGGCGCGCAAGTAGCTACCCAGGCCAACGGAGCAAAAGGAGACAAAAGGTGCGTACGCCAGGGCATGCAGGCCAGCTAGAAATGTACGGGAGGTGGTACCTAACATACCACCCCTCCATGAAAAAATCCCGCGTCCTCGCGGAGAGAAAAAAAAGAGAGGAAAAGATTTTAAAAAAATGAACTGGAGGAGAAAACACACACACACACACACATACTGCACGCGCGCATGGATCTCACGAAAGTGTGTACTAAAATGCACTCGTACAGATCATTCCTGTACTACTTATTGTGTGAAATAACAATTGGAGTTTGACGAGGAACGTGAATTACTAGTATTTTGCACGGCTAATACAGCCTAGTTACACTTTTGCTAAACATCCAAAAATTAGAGCGTGGCTCACCATGATCGGACCCCTAACTTGGTTATGTTTTACGAACACACGCGCGCGCACACACTACAAAAAATTCACGAAAATAAATTTGACGAAGAAGCATACAAAAAAAAAGAAAGAGAGAAAGGTAGCTGACCTGCATGGCTTGAACGAGAATAGACGAGGTAAGGTTGGCGTAGGAGAGACGAGGTTGATAGAGACGAGACGAGGTTGGCGTAGGAGAGACGAGACTGACATGGACGAGACGAGGTTGACATAGACGAGACGAATGGTGGTTGAGGACGGCTGGGCATGGGATGATCTCAGGGTCGTGGGTCGATCAGGCAATAATCGGGCGCCAATGTTGAATTCGAAACAGGTCGACTGACGACATATCCAGACATTACAACGGGAACAGGTAGGTTGGGGGAACGACATTTATTAGAGACGACGAGACAAGAGACCAAGACGAACGAAACGACTACATTGAAGAGTGAGAAAAGAGAGGAAGAGATCAAGTCTGAAGGGCAAGATAAAGGGCCTGGGTAGCTATGGCAAATATGGGCGCGCAAGTAGCTACCCAGGCCAACGGAGCAAAAGGAGACAAAAGGTGCGTACGCAAGGGCATGCAGGCCAGCTAGAAATGTACGGGAGGTGGTACCTAACAATACTCTATCGCTGCTTGTCCACCACTGCGATGGATGCAGGCATTTTCAGGGTGATAAGGGCGCTCTGCGCGAGCACCCCAGGACTGAGCTGCTGATGAAGCAGAATGAAGTCGAGGAATTCGACCGCAACTTGGACCAGAGAAAAGAGGTAAGGAGAAATAGTCCACTAGCTCTCCCCCCCCCCCCCCCCCCCCCTCTCACCCTGTTGGGACACAGTGTTTGAGGTAAAAAATTGTTGGAAAGGAGTACATTAAGTTCGTCAAGAAGACTTCAATAGCTTAGCCTCATCAAATTAGCCCCCCCCCCCCCCCGTTTGTGAATTAGTTTTGCCCTCCTTTTCTCTATGCGTCTCCGTCGTGCAATCTCTGTTCCTTGCCCCATGTTCCTCTTGCTCTCGTTATCTGATTCTCTTTGTATATCAAACTCCATCTCTTTATTTTCTCTGTCCTTTGTTCTTCAATGTACTGTCGTGGACATGGAAATCCAGTCGATTGACCGGGGCCGGCGCCCTCAGCGCGTACAGAACAGCGTTTGATCGCGTTGCGACCAGCGCGCTGCAGCATGTGTGTACTGCTTACCCACCACGGCTGCATGGCCAGCGCCCTGGGGCCACTAGACGTGCGACCGGATTTCCATGTCCACAACAGCAGTACATGCATTTGCGCAATCCACACCAGTCCAAATGAACAGTAGGAAGTTTGAGAACCGAACGTTTTCGTTCCCTTCCCTTCATAGGCTCTTGCAGCCAATGTATTTCCGAGTGCTGATTCCGACTGGTGTGGATTGCGCACATGCAGGTGCTGCATTGAAGAATACGAAACGCTTCCAATTTTTTCTAGATGGCTATTTGTTCGTCTCGTTTTCTTTTTCAGAAGGCTTCCTCTCTCTCTTTCATTCACTGTACGTCTGTCTTTTTGTCTGTGTGTCTGTCTGGATGCACAAATGTATGTATGTTTGTCCGTATTGGCAGGCATTCAAGGAGAAGATGACGCAGCTTGCAGAAAAGAGGAAACTTGTTGACGAGGAGGAAGTAAGATTGCAGAAAGAGATCATCAAGCAAACCGCACACATCAAGGTATGTCCAGGTGTCATGGTTCTCCTTATCGCAATAGCCAAGCACACGTGTGCATTGACAATGGTCTGCATGTCATGTCTGGATCTAGATGTTATGTTAGAGGGTTCGTGGGTGCTCTGGTGTGTACATGTACATACCAGGATGATATCTGTTGTGTTGTGTTGTGTTGTATCCAGTACAATGATGAAAAGCGCCAGAAAGCGTTGCGCAAGACGCATGACGAGCAGCTGCTAAATAAGGTCAAGCAGGACGAGCTGCAAGCGTAAGTGCAAGATACACGGATACATGCTCTTACTGAATTGCTGGTTGCTATAGCAATGAGATGCTGGTGGTGCTATTTACTGACCTGGTCCCCCCCCCCCCCCATGAAGCCCCGGGGCTTGTTCCAAGAAGTGCTGTAAGGTGGAGGACAGATTTCTGCCTTATTTTGAGAAAAGTACAATCATGTAAGTGCAGTGCTGCTCCAGAAATTCCACAAGTGTGTGATCTGCAGGGGGGGGGGGGGGGGGAAGAATGTCAGTGATAGAGATAAGATGAGGAGTA